CACTGCACTCAGTTGGGTGAACTCGGGAGGAAATCGTTCGGTGACGTGACACGACGAAGGAAATTGACCGAGAGACTGGTAGGTTCCTTCTTTGTTGATGAGGACGTCGAACTAAGTTGGTTCAGTCCTGGAGTCACTGTTGCCCCTGCATTCCGTGCCTTGTGTGTGTGTGTGCGTGGGTGATAATATTCCATTCCGACTGATTGTACTCGCTCTTTCGTTCACAGTTTCTCACCGTTGTTACTTATTGTTATCTTGCGGCGTGATTCGCGGCAATTGGATTCACCGCACTTCTTTTTGTGGATCATAACAGCTTACATAGAATACACTGATTGTCGTTTTTAAATGATTGCGGCTTTTATTAGCTACATGTCCCATATCGACCCGCGTAGATGTAGTCGATGACGTGTTGTTTGTTCATTGATTACAAGATCTGCTAGGATATGGGTCCACTACATAATCGGTGTGAATGGCCGATCACGTGTTATCGCGTGCAGCACCTGCAACAGGGCTGGCTTTGACCTAGTGCTTATCAGTCACCTGGAAGGCATTCCAATTCACAAGAAACAATATGAATAGAATGTTTCATTATCGTTCGCTTCAATAGACACGTTTCATTTGATCTTTTGTTCAGCGAACGATACAGCAATCATGCCACGGCTTTTTAACAATTTTATTCAATCGGGGTTTCTCTATGGATTTTGTAACGAATGTTTCAATTGCATTTTTACCTTTTGCTTCTACATTTTGTCGAATCTTGACAGTCAACAGCTGCTAGTTGGCGCTGCGGTCTCCACTCACAAGGGAGATTTCGATCGAGTGAAAGCTCTCATTGACGCCGGAGCAGATGTGATTGTTTTGGTAAGCATTTCCTTTGATTATAGTTTCCGCACCTGTGGTTGTTTTAGAAAGTAGCATCTTGTGCATTTACCCAGTAGTCTGTGCTCAACATGTGGCTAAGCGCTTACATTTGTGGTCGATTCATGCTCAGCCGCAGCAGTCCACGCATCATATTCACTTTAATGTTCTTGTAAGTTTCGCGCATCAGCTTTGCGGTTGTTTTGCACTTTCTGCACTCGGCCGCTTGAGAGACATCAATTCATATCTTATTTTTAAATTCTGCTCTGCATCGGCCACAGCTTTCACTTCACTACTGGTTACCTGCAGGTAATTTGACCTGGTAGATGCATTTATTATCGTCGTTTCTAAGGTCAGCAACTTCGGGGATATTACTACGTAAACTGCCAGACGCTCTCCGCAGTCGGCCCGGGTTTTCTCTTGAGCTATTTAGTCTTTTGGTTGTGGTGACTTTTCGCTTAGCAAGCATTCTCCTTATAAAATCCACAAATGTCTGTTTAACAGCACTTTGACGTGGTGGATGAGATTCGCCATTAAATGAAGTCACTGCCCCTTGCTTCGCACTGGTGGAGTACTGTATTCCAGCAGCGTCGTGCTGAATTTTTGAGGAGTATTTGGCAACCGTTTGATGACGGACCAAACAAAAACCGTGTGAAATGTGTAATCAGTCATATCTCCCACATGGATGCAATTCCCTGGCTTCCCTCCGCTAACTTTCGAGTAGACTATTCAACCAAATGCTCGGGGTGGTATCGCTTAAGTCCACTGTCTATTTCAGCTCTGCAATCGGGTAATATCCTTCCCTCTAAAAAACATGGACTTTTCTGTAATATCTTCGGTTTTTTACTGTTGCTATACCTTCCGTTGTTTTCCATGATTTTGATGACTCCGTAACTGGAACTCCACAGGACAGCCACAGAATGCCTGCGCCTACAGAGGGACCATGGGGGGGGGGCTTGAGCTGCCCCACGCATAGCTCCATCCACCCATCCACATATTGCACAAGCCTGGAGAAATAAGACCGGGAGGTATGTGAATAGGAATTACGTTTCATCAGTGGAGCGGACCCACACTACTTCAACATGCACATCAGCATTCCCGTCTAATTCAGGAATCATACGTACCAGACGTACACAAGGCGGCGGTTTGGCTGTAGTTCACTCCACACCGGATGGAACCACTCTTCCAGCCTAGCTCGGTCACGAGGACCGTCTCCCCCAAAAGCGATGAATAGTTTCTAGAAGCAGTATACTCGAGTAGCAGGGTTTTCGACAAGTCGTCACCTTGTCAACATTCACACCAAGTGTAGCCTTGCACTGCATGTCACACTGGAGCGTTGGTGTGAAGCTAGCTTCCGTGTATAGCACGGCATATACATATATATATATATATATATATATATATATATATATATATATATATGGTTTACGGCATCCGGTTTCGGATTTGCCTGTCACTGTGGCAAGCCACAGGACGCCTGCGCCTACAGTGGGGCCATGGATGGCTTGCGCTACACCGCCCACAGCTCCAACCACACACCCCATATCCAGTGTAAACCCGAAGGAATAAGACCAGCAAGCATGTGGACGGGAGCCACGTTCCATCAACGGAGCCGGCCCACACTCCTTCACAGGCAAACACACGCACGCTGTATTTTGGGAATCAAGCGCACACAAGCTGGTGGCTGGACCGTAGTCCGCTCCACAATGAGTGCATGGAACCGCTCTTTGAGCCTAGCACGGCCACAAGAACCGTACACCCCGTCCCCTCTAGCAACGACCAACTGTCTCCTGGAGCCAGTATGAACGATGTAGTGGGTAATAGACAGGTAGGCACCTTGTCAACATACACATCAAGCGCAACCATACCAGGGATATCAAACAACAGCCATTCACTTTAAACGACTAGCTGAAATAAAAAATCCAATAATGCATACAGATACGGTGGCATAACTCTTCGCTAAATTACCATATGAAGTAAGTTGGTTAGCAACAAATCCGTGATAAGTAAGAAATGTACACAAGTTACTTAAAATGCTACAAACGCAACAAAATTACCGAAGATAAGCGCAATTAGTGTAAGCAACGTGGCCAGTTAATAGAACATTATTCAGGGAGGCAGAACAAACCAAATAAAGCGGAATGAAATTTAGCCAGCTTAAAAAGACCTAGTTTATATATATATATATATATATATATATATATATAATACACTTGCGGGTACAATTCCTTTTTTAAAGTTATGTGCAAGCTCGTGCACGTTGTTGTTTAAGAAGCAGTCAGTTTATCGCATACTAGTCAAATTTGGTTTAATAATTAGCACAGTATCGATTACGAATTTTCAGCTTCCATGATTATTATAGGCCGGGTGAGACTTTCAAGCATCGGGTGGGACTTGTACTATTGAAGCTGTGATATCGACATTATTTTGTTAGCTGTGTAGTTGAGCATTCGCTCAGATTTCAACCTTATCCTTTTTATACTGAGGACTTTCGGCTGTGGTCCGTTATTTACAATGTGAGAAGTATAGAACGGCGTAGGTTAGATGCATATCGTTGCGGAGCTGAAGCTACATATCCTGAACATGGCATTTAATTAGGGCAACTTCGTAGCATCCGCATACTTATTCGTAGATCAACGACACTGTTCGGTGAGTAAGTTTTCCCTTCTTTCTGTGTCCAGGTTGGTTTCACCGGGTAAAACAGACCGCGACATAAGAATGCAAAGTGGCGTTGAATAATCGAATTGCCCAACTCCGTCACCTTCCGTGTAAGCATGAGGCTTGTGGTTAGACTCTACCGTGGAATGCGGGTGAGAAAATACTGATTGAAGGCAAGACCGCCGTTCTCAAACTCGTGCCAGGACACGCGTTTTACCACAAGCCTACTGCGCTTCGTTTAACTAGTCGATCATGAAGCAGCGGCATGAGGCTGTGTTGGGCTCGAAGTTGAGAATACACTCTTGTTTCCGCGTATGCACTATGGCTCTTCGAGCTGCATTATGAGCCGTACTCATGGGTTAATTATTTTCTATTATGTACTTCTTGGTTTCAGTGCATTTTTCACAACGCTATATTTCACTAAGCTGCTTTTTATATAATATCGTCTACCCAACGATTGTCGGGAATAGCTCTATCGAATTGACATTTTCCAGATTCTTCTTAATTACACTACGGAATGTTCTTATGGATTCCAGCGTTTTTCCCATAGGTTGTGGCCGGTTCCAGATAATTTTGCTCAGATGCTATTTGGTGCTCTTTCGAACGCAAACGCGTTAGCTCCATTCTCTATATTGTACTGAAGATAAGTGTTCCTCTAACATTGAAATCAAAAACGCGTTTGTGGATCATATCGAACCAAAAGCATGTATTATGTGTTTACCCTTCGGTTTTCACTTCACAGCAGCAGTCATAGTAAGTTTGTTCCGCGTAGCATTGCGCGTTTTCTGTTTTAATATGTTATTGGATGACAGGTACAGTTTCGTAGTGTACTTGTTGTGTCACTTAAGATGATGGCTTATGATACTATTCCTCCTTACCTTGCGGTCTTTACAACCGTATACTTCACTCGTTCCATGGAACTGGAGCCTGAGTACTGCATTAGGCAAGTCCACTGTACCTACCGTCACTGGAATTGTGTGTAGCGTTGTTTTCATAGCATTGTTTGATGAAAATGTGATTTCTCATGTGCTCCACCGAGACGCCACCTCATGTTGATCCGCTGGTATGTTGGTCCAGTCGTTACTAACGCTGTCCGAATCGAACTTGTGGACACTTTGTTATCATCGACGTTGGTGTCTGGTTTACTCTGTTTGCTAGCGATGAGGTCATGGTCAATGTGCACCAAAATAACATAACACTTAGAACATCGTTCGTTGGATCACACCACTCGAGGCTAGTCCTACATTGTTTGGCACCTGAGGTCAAACAGTATGCCATGCTGTAGTCCATCCGTGTAAATGGCTATCCCGATGAAATTTACTTTTGTAGGTGCCAACACATGCGGTACCCTACCGAGGGGTTTGCAAATATCAGAGTGTATGACAGTGAAACAGATTCTACCGTCAGTCGTACCAGTAATGGAGTTCATATATTGCGCTTGACCGTGTCTACAAGGACGCGCGCCAGTTGGTGTAAATGTATCGTGACCACTTGTAAACAGAACTAAGGCATACCTCTATGTATCTGGAACCACATCAGTTTTCAAAAGAGTGTGAAAGTGTTTCATTATAGCCTTGAAATATTGGGCCTCCAAATACGATCAAAGCAGTTGATATCTATCTGAGTCTCATCGAACCTATCGGCATATTCTTTTCCAATTGCTCAAATTTAGTAGCCTTGAATGGATGAATATTTTTAGTGTTGGCGTCTACTAACGGTGGCTTGCAAGGCCCTGTATATGACCAGCAGAAGCGTACTACAAATACTTCATACATTTGCACCGAATGTGTGGAAAACCTATTAACCCGTCTTAATTCGCTCCTGCATTGACAGTTTTGTCGTTTCCTTGGGTTTGTTTTGGGGGAAGGCTAACGCTTTGTTCTCACTTTTTAGGCACAGACTTGATTATACTTTCCTCTTTATGTTAAAGGACTCTTCTCAAGGGAACAGTATTTACCAACTTGATATGCTGAAAAATTTGAAATCCAACTTCAAAGCTCTGCAGGTTGTCGGTGGAAATGGTGAGTTTATAGACAGGTTTTCCTTTGGTTTTTTTCAAAATGACATGCTCCTCAGTTTACTGAATTTCCTCCTCAGTTGAGTTTTTGGTCTCCGTATTGTTTTGATTTTATGTCGTTGGCTCTGTTGCACCTCCTTCTTAGCTCAACCGAACATACTTGCGTAGTGGAGGCTAGTTTATATCCTCCTCTGATTTGTTATCTTTCTCGCTGCCATTTGTGAAATTTCCCACTAAGGGTTTCCTACAACATGTAAGGTGCATTTGTTTGGATCGATGGGATAACTATCTGTGGAGCCGGTTACCAAGACACTTGTTCCTCTAGGCTCCAGCATTTAATCAACATAGTGAACCATCAAAACAGCATCACTACGGATTGAACTTCTTCAGAATTGATGGTTGTTTTCCACTACTTTAAAATGAGCCCATTCAGCATTTCGTTGCTTTCTGTTTCCCGTCAATGTGCCTCTGTCAAGCTTGCCACTTGGCTCATCTCACATACAGTTCCCCGGTAACAGCTTCTCATTCCCTTCTGATCCGGCCTGGATTATTCTCTACGATGTCTGCAATGGCACGAAGGGATAAATGAGCCATTTCCTTGAGATAACAAACTTTTCGATCCTAATCTAACCTAACTATCGTCGCATTTCTCCTTGTTTGATATTATATCATTTCTCGGACTCCCGACGACTGCACACTTCACGACGGTACATATCTCTTCCTTTCGTCGTTTAAACGCTTGAGTTACCTTTCTAATACGCTCTTCTGAGCAGTTCTCTCTAAATGATTATATTTAGTTGTTCACCAAAATTTATGATTTATTTATTGACTTTTCGTTTACCAGATCAAGTAGGCGCTGGAAACCTTCACCACTGCCGATCGATTATTTTACTCGCCTTTTCTACATGCACTAGTTCGACGCTAATGTTGCATTCGTTTTTTTCTACTCATGTTTTATCAGGTGCCGTTTCCCGTGAGCAGTTTGCTAACCCTAGTGCTCTCTGTGTATTCACCTTTTCTCACCCTCAGTTGTCACATGTGCTCAAGCAAAGAACCTTATCGATGCAGGGGCTGACGCACTACGTATTGGCATGGGGAGTGGTTCAATTTGCATCACTCAAGAGGTCACCGCAGTGGGTCGGTCACAAGCAAAAGCGGTTTACAAAGTGAGTCATCGTGGCCACACTACTTTGTCAGGCTTCTCACGCACATTAACATTAACTTCGTTTAACTCACCATGCCTATGTGCATCACACATCTTCTTAGTGTGGCTCTCCTATTAGTGCGCCACTAACCCAAAACCTTTGGACTGAACATTTCCAGTGATCTATCTGCCTACTTTGGTGTATGGCCTTGGTGGATCCGTCGCTAAAAATGATTCTCATGTATATTTCAACCTTCTCATCTTCTACCGTATGCCACACTGGTCGACGGAATTGCCACCAAGCAAGCGTCATCAGCGGGTTTATCACTAAATCTGGGAAGCGTTCCTCCTTCGTAACCGCTGCTTTGGCCGCTTCCACTCCTTTCAACTATGCTTTTAGGCTTTAAACTGCTTTTTTTCTATTGTCCGGTTAAATGCGCCTCTGTCTTGCTTTTCCCACAACACGAAAGAGTAGTAAGGTATATAATTCGTACAGATAGAGTGAACACCTCTATATGCCCTACGTTTCAGGTGTCTCAATACGCGCGATCGCGTGGAGTGCCTTGCATCGCAGACGGGGGTATTCAAAACGTTGGCCACATAGTTAAGGCCTTCAGTTTAGGTGCCTCGTCCATCATGATGGGTGGTCTGCTCGCTGGCACTTCTGAAGCACCTGGTGATTATTTCTTCTCCGATGGAGTGCGTTTGAAAAAGTACCGCGGTACGTGACCTTTTTTGGTTTTTGTGTCCAAGACAATCGATTTTCTATGTCATCATTTCTACGCGTTTTGTTCCTCGTCAGCGCAGTTGCTGTGTCGCTTACAACCATCTGCAGTCAGTCTCTGATACGTGAGCACTTTTTCTCTGGAGTTATAACTCACTGCGTTAACTAACTCCTAGTGAATTCCTTTCCTCTCACCTTTTTGACTAACTGTAGGTTCTCCGAAACAAACTAACAGCTACTCTCATGAATCATAGAGTATACAGTCGAACTGGCGCTTTTGTTTCGCGATTCACTGAGCTTATAAACGTACAAACATCCTGTTTTCAACCACGGACGAACGTGCACTTCAATCTGTACGATAGCCTCAACGGACTCCATTATTCTCTGTAGCATTCGTAGCCTCTTACACTCAGTGACTCATTTGGTTTAAATCTATCTGCTGAGTCCCACTTTCTTGCCAATATGAGTTTCACTCGCTTGTCCCTAATCAAATTACCATAGATTACTATTAACTAGTGGTCTCCTAGCCTCCATACCATCTTACCGGAACTTCGAAACTGAGGTCTGTCTTCAGTCAAATAGCGAGTTCAATTATTGTCACATTTGTCGCCTCTCCAAAGATTTCATATCGACCAGAGTTGTCTGGGCGTTCAGCATGTTATCTTTTTGATCATCTTTGATTTCTCCTTTAAGTGCCATTCCATCGCGCTAGCGGTGTTTAGTACTGCAATAGTTTGCTCAGTTCGATACCTTGAAATATGGTCGGGACAGATCGGGAAGTCATCCTTTCATAAAACTTCGTGAATAACGTTTCGCTTTTAACTCAACCTCTTCGTCTTAAAAAGATTATGCATCAAAACGAAACTTTGTGCATTTCACAAATATATCAACCGGTCGTCCACCAAGCCTTCTTATATGTTTGCTCAACTATGTTTCCATTCTTGATTGTGCAAAGCGCCTTTAAATCGGATGTTCCTCATCGTTAGCTCCTTTCATCTCCTTACATTTCCCCAGCTGCTCTTCCTCTAGTAGCCTAGAAGTAGGGTCGCCCACAATCAAATCAGCTATTGACTTTTCTTTTCACTTGTTCTTCCATTCTCCTTCATCATCATTCCCCTCAACATCGTGCGCACACATGAGTCAATAGGAAGAGCATACTGAACTCCATGAAATGGACGAATAAATGACTCACGATTTTGATGCACATTCGCCTCAAACTTAGCGAATGTGCCTCGCAGCTAACTTTCGTTAGAGTCCATATGTCTGCTAAACTTATTGGGCTCTTCAAATACTTCCTTCTCACTAGTCGTCTTCTCTAAACCTCACCCGCTGTCACAGGAATGGGCAGCCTTGAAGCCATGAACCATCACAGTTCCAGTCAGGCTCGCTACTATAGTGAGGCTCAGCGAGTCATGGTCGCTCAGGGTGTCTCGGGCACTATCATGGATCGTGGTTCTGTACATCAATTAATCCCTTATCTTGTCGCCGGTGTACAGCACGGAATGCAACAAATTGGCGCGAACAATCTAAAGCATTTGACAGACATGTCCTACTCAGGTCTGCTCCGATTCGAACTCCGAAGCTCATCTGCTCAATTGGAGGGAGGTGTCCATAGCTTGCACTCGTAAGTGAACAATATGTACCTGATACACTGCTTTTCATCCTGAATCCCCTGTTCCCTATTGATTTCGGATTTTCTGTTCATTTCTAGATGGGACTTAAACCAGTTTGATATCACGAATTGAACCATTGTACCACTAGTCTAATGGTTGTGACAATAGAGTCTATTGAATTACCGACATTGCACGGCTGTTCCTTATTTAGTCCGCCTAAACTTGTCCATTTCTCGCTACCGGGGCCTTACACTCACATAGTTTCGACCCACGTCCACCTACAGCGGTTAGTCGCTATATTCCGAACTGTTTACTTTGGTCCACATGTACATTCGATATCGTTGCCACAAAACCGTCTCTTTCCGGATTCTCTTTTTGAGGTTTTGAACTCTGAATATCATTCGTGTAGCCATTAAAGGGAATTTCTGACCGGTACTTGTTGATAAACACATCCCTTTTGACGTCTTTTGTTAGTCATTTGCTACCAGAATTGGAGCCTTTATCCCCACAGTTTTGCTTATGAGTGTGGATGGAATGAGATAACAGCTGCTTACTCGTTCAGATGGTTTGAGTTAAAAGTAGCCGTAGAATCATCGCCTTTCATTTTGTACTGTTTGGCTACCATTCAACAGACAGCGGTAGCTCTAGACGCCTCGTAACACCTGTTTTCCCCCGCGTTTCGCGAAAATCTTTTCTACAGCCCTCGGTTGAGATGAACGTAAAAGTCAGCACATACGCTACACATCCATTTAAGTTTTACCGGAACAGTACGGTCCTTGTTCGAACTCCTTCACCTCTGTGCAGTTATGTTGATTCCAAGTACCTCAATTTTACTTCTCCAGTTGTAATAGTTAAAGCACTATGTCTACGCATAACCGCGTACAGTTTCAGATGGAACCAAAGATAACCGAAACATCACCCTGCCTCGGTTGTCGATCTCTTTTACATAGCTCGCCTTGTCTACCGCTATCCGTAAACGGACGAAACGGAATCTGTCAGTTCCGGCGCGTTGTTTCCATTGTAGCTTTTGTAATCCTTTTCATTCATTCGCCTTCGCTTCTTCCGTAAATCTCCAAAGGCGACGTGACGGTGATTCGCACTCTCGCCTCCTTAATTTGCTTCATCTTTCTTGTATGGCACCCCTCGCTAGTCTCTTTGGTCACCCGGTCTTCTGTCTGTGTCATCAGTCATGTGAATGATTGCTTTGGGCACTCATCGATCCCATTCGAGTTAACTTTTTGTGTGTACGCTTGTCCCGGCTGAGCAGCTGTTATCCATCCACTTATCCAACTGACTTCATCGCCCTTTCCAAATGACTGACAAATCGGTAACTGCGAGCGCATGTTAGGTTGGAATGGACATTGGCATTCTGTCTTTTCACCAGTAACTATAAATGCGCGAACATTTTTATAAAACAGATAACGCAGAGCATCACTGGACTATTTATTCTTATCGACTTCGGCGGTCTGGCTACAACCGCGGGTCACTCCTTAAGTGAATTCACCCTGTAGATCATCCTGGGTTTGTTGATTGGTCTCCTCTGGAATAATTTCATCTAGATTATTCGTTGGCGCGATGGCATTTTTGCAGACGTTATGGAACCTTACCATTTCCTGCAATTATTGGCTCTTTTGCGAACCAAGCTGCTCTCAGCGCAGTTGACGTTGATTCGCCGCGTGTCATACCACAATACAATGTTCTGACTTGTGCTGGACGGTTCCTTCATCTGTTAACTCATTTTCTGGAACACGCCTTGTAGTTGGTTCTTGTCGCTGTTCCCACCGATTCCTTCACCGATACATCTCACAAGCGTCCACTCCACACATCGATTGACCTGCTGCCCCGCTGATATGATGCATGGATTGCGGATTACCTCCTACTGGTGATAGCTTGTCTCTAATCCGCCATAGCATTTAAATATACTGGATTCTGTCTGCCATGTATAACGAATATATATGCGGTATTACGTATCCGCAACTGTCGATGATATATTTCCCACTATCGATTTCCGATGATCAACCGATATTTTTTCGCTTTTCCGAAAGTACAGTTTGTTAAGCAATCACCAACACTATGTACTCCCATTTGCCATGAATGACATCACTCATTCCCATGAGCTGGTTCATGTGTATTTACTTAGCCGCCTACCGCTTGTCACGAAGTACATAACTGAACCTTCTGACTCTTTTCAGTGTACATCCCAACGTCATGTAAATTTAAGTTTTCCAGAATAGTATTTCCTTTTGGCTTCTTTGTGCTGCTTCCCGGGGTTTCACGGCATTCTGTCTGTGGACTAACAACGAAGATGTCTTCTCTGGTTCAATGCTTGTCCTGGTCTTGTTTCACCTATCTAGTCACGTGCCATCGAATAACGTAACTAACGCCAGATGAGCAAAATGAAGCTTCCGTTTTCGCTATTTTTGTTGACTCGGAACCCTTGATAAGAGCAATTTCTCATTTTCCTAAACTGACCACCCACTTACTCGGGTCGCTGGGTTCGGTCTCGCGTACTCTTTTGACCTTCGCTTTGTTTTATAAAACCTTCAGATACCGGCTACACTTTTATGTCCCACAGAAAGATCTAAGTTCAGCAGGTAAATGTGTCCCGTATTCGTTGTGGGTACATCTAGGCTTGTAACAATCGTCACGAACTGCGAGCTAAGGCCCGATTTATGTTAAACTCTTCTGACACAGGTATGCAATGGACCCAACTTAATTCATTTCAGTGAAGATAGTTGGAATGGAGACAAGAATCAGTGAGAAAATCGAAAGTCTCCGGAATCGACAACTGGGAAAATCAAGAGTTGAATGTAGCAGCGTTGCTGCTTCTTCACGGCGCTAAGTGACATAAACTCTCTAGCCTCCGATTCAAAGGCAGTTAAAGCTTTAATCCCACTTGCTGTTCGGATTCTTTATCTTACCCATATTACAATACCTTCTTTTGAGCTTCTTGGTTATAAAAGATAACAAAAGCATCGGCGATACGCCGTGTCGACGCTTCTCTGCCACGCAACCACCACCACCAGTCGCGCGTGAACTAAGGATACTGCGAGGATTGCCCAGTCCCCTACGCCGGCTCAAAAGCGCGACCTCCAGATTAGTAGGCAGGTGTGCGAATCGATTATAGTGGCAATATACCAAAAGGGCAGTCGCACAGACTGTTCTAACCATAGGGGTATTAGCCTAACGCCAGTTGTGACAAAATTACTGGCCTCAATTATCCTTCGTCGCCTCACTGCAGAACGGAAATCTCGGATTAGGGAAGAGCAGGCCGGTTTTCGCCCAGGGCGGGGCTGTATAGACCATATATTTACTTTGCGGCAGGTGCTAGAGCAGCGCCACGTATACCGCAAACCGACAATAGCTGTGTTCCTCGATTTCAAGAGTGCGTTCGATTCAGTTGATCGATCGATTCTGTTCGAATTACTTGCGCGAAAAGGTGTTCCCACGAAATATGTGAACATCCTTCGTGCTCTGTACTCGAACACTACAGGCCGCGTCAGGGTCTATGGTGTCCTATCGGATAGCTTTTCGACTACAAGTGGCGTTCGTCAGGGTTGTCCGATTTCCCCGTTTTTGTTCAATTTCGTCGTGGATTCTATCATGGAGTGTTCCCTTGTGGAATCCAACGATATAGGCGTTGAAATGCTGCCTGATGAAAGGTGAGTTGATCTAGATTATGCGGACGATATCGTCTTGCTTTTTGACGATTTTGCGGCGGCACAACCAACCTTGAATAGCCTGTCCAGAGTGGTCCCATTATTTGGTATGCACTTCGCACCTTCAAAGTGCAAAGTGTTGCTGCAGGACCACCAGCCACTTGATGATCCCTTGACGCTTGCTAACGAGGAACTCGAGGTGGCTAATCAATTCACTTATCTTGTCAGCTGCATCAGCAATGATGGGCGCATAGCAACTGACGTGAGCTCACGCATTGCAAAGGCCAGAGCTGCCTTCTTGAACCTGCATCATCTTTGGCGATAGAAGGGAGTTTCCCTCCGTCTGAAAGGCCGTGTATACAAGCCCACAGTAAGGGCCGTTCTGCTGTATGGTAGTGAAACTTGGCCCCTTCGGTCTGAAGATCTGAGGCGCCTTCAAGTCTTTGATCATCGTTGTTTGCGAAGCATTGCTGGTGTCGGATGGCACCAGCGTGTCCGCAACGATGACGTGCGTAGGCGAGTACTAGGTGGTGATGATCATGCTAGCTCCCTAGAACAACAGATAGCACTGAATAAGTTACGTTGGCTCGGGCACGTGCTACGCATGTCTGGTCAACGCTTACCTAGGAGGGCCTTGTTCAGTCTCCCAGGTGTAGGGTGGCGCAAGGCTCGAGGTGGGCAGAAGTTGACTTGGCAGCGGGAAATGAAGTCACTGACGACCAAACTGGGTGCCGTTGGTCCGTCTCGCCTTTCGGGTTGGAGTCCACGTGACTCACCTTGTGCTTGGCTCGAGACTTTGCAGGACATGGCTCGCAACCGACACCAATGGCGCGTCTGCTGCCGTCTCCTAGTCGGATTGCCTGTTTAAAGTATGTTTGGTACTGAGTTATCTGCGGGGTAATGGCTGATTATGACGCGTGGCATTGAAAGCCGCAAGGAAGCTGTCTCGCCGATGCCGCCTTATCTTTGCACGATAGCCAGCTGTTTGTGACGGTATGTTGTCTACACAAGGTGTGGGCGCCTTGACCCTGAATGTTTGCTTAGGGCATTAAGGTTTTCAGGTAAGTCCCCCTTTCTCTCCCTCTTCTTATTCTTTATTTCATAGGTCCTCATGGTTGTATGGCAGCGAAGCATCAGTTCAAATGGCTGATGTACTGCTGTTGATGATGATGATAATGTGCGATGCGTTAGGCCATGGGCCCCGCTTCCTAGCTAGATACTTTATCCTTACATAGTAGGCACAGCTGCACACTGTCGACCGCTATAGATGGGTGCTGTTTATCAGCAACACCAAGGACAGTCAGTCTTAACAATAGTATGTGTGAACTCTTACAATGGTATTTAAAAGTAGC